TCTGCTATTAAATTTTTTTTCTTTCAAATCTGCAAATCTGCCATGGCGCTTGATATGACAAAAATATTTCAGCTTACAAGACAAAATGCTGTTTGTTAGCCAATCTTCCTTGAAGTTCAGATCTTTTAAAATGTCAGTGTTGCTTCTCTGTTTTGTCCATGGTATTCTGAGAATCTTTCTACAGCATTTCAGCTCAAAAGCCTGGTACAAAAAAAGAAAAAACTGAACAGTTAAGAGTGCCAGGTTCTTCTTCAGGAGACCTAGTTTTTAACCCTCAATGAGGTGATTAAATTTGTCTGACATAGGCAAAACTACAATCCTAACTTGCAGGCTATGGAGAATGCACTAGCCATGCAGACTATGTTTCCTCAAACGCAAGTCCCCACTTTCATAAACGGCCCCAAAAAGTGGTAAATACGAGCAGAAAGGACAGACTAGGAAAGATGCTCACAGAAGATTTGGCAATTTAAAAAAAAAATGGGGGGGGGGCGTGTTGGGGATTCTCACTGTATTATAATACAGGGTAGACAGAATACAGCTGCACAAAATCCATTATCCTGAGTCAAAATTTTTAGAATGCTGGTAGGCACAAGAATGTAAGCAACACATGGGAGCCGTAATGGTGTACGTCTAGACTCTCACCTGCTGATCAGAAGGTCATGGGTTCGGGTCCTGGTGGAGTTGGACTTTTTTCCCCCCATTTTTTCTTAAAAAATTACCTTGGCTCCCAGGTAACAGACAGATTTGTGCGAAGCAACGATAGCCGGTGTGATGCTGACTACATTACTCACCAAGAGCTGAGTGGTCTATAAAATACAAGTCTAGCCCTATTTACCCATCAGGCAAACCTGAAAATGTGGAAAAGGGTCCTCTACTTATGAGTGCAGAACAAAACTATAAACAAGTCTAAGTTGTCTTCAATAAATGATGCATACCATTTACTCACAGAAAATATCAGACTTCGCAGTTAGAGAATTAACCTGCTGTTCATCGATTGAAATATTTCTTGAGACAGCATTATTTAAGGTTTTGGTGACCTTATAACTCCTCAGCAGGCCCAGCCAAAAATGTAACAGACAATACACACCCAGACTAATTAGGTGACAGGAAGCAAGGTAGCAGGAATGACACTGGTCACATCAACCATTTGTTGTCATTTGGTAATTAAAAAAAATTATGAGATTTATAGGGAAAATAGTTTACAGAGTTTTGATACAAATATTATCTAAAAGACAATAAAGTAACCTTGATAACATTGCACCAAGTCTGATCATAATTTATAAAAATCTAACATTAATTTTTATTAAAAATGCAGCAAAAGAATAGGTTTTCCCTACTCAGATATAGGAGAGAGAAAAACATCAAAATATTTTAGCTGGACTGTCATATTTATCAAAACAGCATTCTTCACATATGGGTTTTAGGGCCCCATTTGAGGATGGCGGGTGTAGGGGGGAATAAACCCACTGCATCCCCAACAAGCAAGTCATAGGAGTTGATTAATTAGGGGTTTCTTTCAAAGTCAGAGTGCATGTGCCGGAGAGGCAAGAAACCAACAGTGTGCATACAAATAAGCCAGATCTGTAAAATGGATGTGCAAGCAAATCTCATTGTGGAATGAGACTCGGGTCCAGAAGTAGATGAACAACCAGAACTTTCTGTCAGAGTTTACAGCTGGTAAATGTGAAGAAGAAATTCATTAAAGCAAATTCAACTACCAACATACTGATTTTCATTGGAGACAGCATTAAAGTCATGGCAGCTGTTATATTGACTACATTACCCCATATCATCACCATTTTGTAGCAGGTCCTTTGCAGAATGTTGCTCTCATCACGGTCTGCCTGAAAGAAACTCTGTCTCTCGCCAGCTCTCCCACCTTATGTACTTTCATACTCAAGGAGTCACTTAAATCCTGTGCCCATCTTGGTCGGCCCCTGCTCCTCCTTCCTGGTACTATGCCTTCTGCTATAATTTTTTTCAAATCTGTTGTGGCACTTGATATGACCAAAATAGTTCAGCTTCAGAGACAGGATGCTGTTTATTAGCCAATCTTCCTTGATGTTCAGTTCTTTCAAGATGTCAGTATTTCTCCTCTTCTTTGTCCAAGATATTCTGAGAATCTTTCTTAAGGACTGGGAGATAGTCTATGACTCACATCTGTATGTTGCTACAGGGAAGATGCATGCTCTCAAAATTCTAATATGTCCCATAAAGTCACTGAAAATATGAGTTTAATGCTTCTGTAACCGAAAATATATACCAGACACCATATTCCTAACTTGCCTATTGACATTTAATGAGCTTTACTACTGCTTATATTCATACAAGTCAACCGCATCAGACTGCAAGATGAATCCAAAAAGAAGAAAATACTAGAAGATGTGACAACTAAAAAGATTTATGAAAAATGAGACGAAGACAACAGTTGGACAACATCTCGACAGCCTTCTGTCATAACATGGCAAAGTGTCAGCTCATAAACCGAAACATGCTACTGAAGAAGCATGATTGGTATGCCAGTTGTCATAACTTGATGGTGATTGCCCTAATTGTATGGGTGACTTTGCCAAGTATTATAGTTTACCAACATCCACACAAGATAACTGATCCTGACACCTTGTGTCAATCAGATGAAGCAATTACATATGCAGTATGTTTTACGTACTACTTATTGCTTTGTCAAGAGGCAAAATGGTTTTCAAAGCAACAGCATCTATTAAAGAAAACTGATCAGGGCAAATTATGTTTCTTTTGCCAATTAGCATAAAGTTTCAGTTAACTAGCATCTGAAAGCTGGCAGGACAGTTTGTGTCAACTAGCTCAAGTAAATAAGAATACACTACACTGTCATCGTCATCATCAAGTGCCTTGCCGATTAGTACAGGCTATCGATCATGGCTCTTTACGGTTACTTTTCCAAGGCATATACTACAGTCTTTACGGTTACTAGCATTCACCAAGGTATCAAGATACATGTTTCACAGCAATGTAGCATTTCACACAAAGAAGGTATCAAGACATCATGGTCATAGCGTAGGTAATACAATGAGTGCCTGGAAAAGAAAGCTGATCAACTTTCAAGTGCTAAAAGTGCATCGGTGTCTACCACCAAAAGAAAAAAATCATTAAATCATGTGAAACCACCAGCCCTAGCACAAGACGTAGGTGATCATGGACAGTTCGCAGTCATTATCCTCCACCTCAGAACATGGCACAACCGAGAGTAAACAGTACACAAAATTCAAGATAGGCGTTTCAGCCAGTGCAAAAGGTACCCCAGACAGCTCTACCAGGAGCAAATTTGACACATAAGGCAAACCTTTTGGCCAGAAAGAACAACAGTGGAACGTAAAATATAGGACCACTAAAGAATTAATTAGTGAAAGACTTACAAGGTGTGCCAGGATGAGAGCAACGTTCTGTAAAGGACCTGCTGACTGTTAATGAACAGTAAATAAAGAAAGTCCCTGTGTGGGTTCTGGGGCTCCATTGTGGGGGAAAACTAAAATAGACCCACTGCCTTCCCAAAAAGCATACTCTTTAGTCGACTAACTGGGTGCTTCCTTCAAAGTCAGAGGCATCTGCCTGGGAGGCAAGGAACTAACAGTCTGCATACAAAAAAGTCAGATATACGAACAGATGTGCACCCAACACTCAGGTTCTGGAACAAGACTAAAGTCCAGAGGTCGATGAACAAGCAGAACTTTCTGCTGGAGTTTACAGCCGGTGAACACAAAGAAAAAAAGAATAAAGGAAGATAAGTATATGATACTTTTCACGCCATTGACATATCGTGCACATACTGCTAGACCCAAACTATTTATACAGACTAATATGGCGTGCTCTCCACTTCTTTTGGGAATAGTGAATCATGTGTCTGGGTTTCTCTGATTAGTGTGGGAAAAGATGAGTGCCATAATAAACAGCACTCAACGAGTGATAATAGTCAACATATCACCACCAGATGTCAATAAGCAGGAGGACTTAAATGAGCTGCTCTTTGCCGGTGATCAGTGCATATTCCACAGTGAAAATCAACAGCTGCTGGACCTCATAAACCAACTACACGACAGTTGCCTTAAACATCACATGAAGATCAATACTGAAAAAAACCCAGAAGTCATCAGAATAAGTGGAGAGCAACAAACCATGGACATAAGGATCAAAGTCTGAAACAAGTGCAAGAATTTATATACTTGGGAAGCATCTTTACATGCAATGGTAGAATAGACAGAGAGATAGAAAAGAGAAGCCTACAATGTCATGTACCAACTTGCTCCAATTTTAAAACACCCTGCTATCCCATAATAGAGACCCCCCAAAAAAATTATAAATGCAATATTTATACTGACTTTAGGTTGCCAATGTCAAACTTGGACATTGACAAAAGAACATGCAAGAAAACTAACCACCTGTGAAATGAGATGTTTGAGAATGGCTGTAAATAAAACCAGAAGAGATTGAATAAGAAATGACGTGATCACAAGAACAGTTGCAACAACTCCCATAGTCAAATTTATTGAGAAACAAAGAATAAAATGGTTTGGTCATCTAATGAGAATGAAACCAATGATGCCAGCAGCAAGAGCATACAACCTGAAAATTGAAACATCAAGTGGCAGGGGAAGACTGAGAAGAAGATGGATTGAAGAAGTCACTGACACCTTGAGACTGCATAACATCACGGCATATTAAGCAGGCCCTGGCTTGGCTGCCGATCATCTGATGTACTGTGAGACCTAGTGGCATAAGCAGATATTGACAAAAGAAAGAAGATACATCACATAACATGCTTTGTAAAATGATTCTACAAAGTCATCAAAATGATTTTGTGCTCCTAAGTCAGACACAGCAATCTGATCTGTTATCTCACTTTCACTCAGACCAAAACAACATTTAAATAAATACTGCTTGTTACATAACGCTCACATGAAAACAACTATACTGATTAATATGGGGAACACAGGAACATAATGTATGTCTTGAACAAATCATCACTACTTTATCTCTTCCAACAGGATCCTGGGGGAATAAAAGATAATTTGAATTTGAAATATATTTTAAAATACAATACATACTTTAAAATGTATTAACACTTTAAATTATCACTAGTGTTGAGTAAATAAATATTATTAGAATGATGCACAAGCTACAATGATATAATTTAGATCACATTTTTTTAATGGATTGTAACTACGATTATTGCCAAGTGCAAAGAATAAAATCTCAGTGTGATAACTAGATGTTTAACTCTTTTAACCTGTTGCCCCGCAAACGCTGAAAAAAAACAAAAATTGGACCTGATCCTAGGGAAATGCCCTAAAAATCCTTTAATTTTTAAAATTGTATCTGTGCATAAATCATTTTGTGCCACACCCATAATTCTACAGACCAATGCCTTTCAATGGGCAATGTGTCGATCTGGGACTCCTAGTTCTATTATCAAAATATGACTCGTCACATATTCAAACTCAAGTCCTTCAAACTGTCAGGTAACCACTGACAACTAACAGCAACTTTATTGAGTACTTGGTGTGACACTGAGCTACAAATTTAATGTGGAATGTTTTATCTATTGTGCCTGCGGTATGCTCTTGACTGCATTAAAAAAGGCAGGAGGCTGATTACATTCAGAATAGTGTGTACTTTTGTTGGTGCAATGCCAGCTTCCATGATCTACCTACCATCTGCTCCAACAGTGAGCTGCCATTCTGGCGTGGGACTGTTACTTTTGGCACCTCTGAGAGCTACCTTATGCATTTTTATTTTGCATGTACAAGCTTCTAGATTTTGCTGAGACTTACATGTTTTTCACTAGTTTTCAAATGGGACACTGAAGGACTGTATATCTGATTTCCTCTGGCACAGCAATAGAACAGCTATGGGGTAACCTATCTGCAGTGATGGTGGAATTTCGACTAACTAACATCTGTGCCACCTGCCTCCCTGTATCAACTATCATCATCATCATGTGCCCTGCCCAGCAGCGTAGGCCTTCATGTCTCTCCACAGATCCTGGTCCTTTATAAAGGGGATGCAGAGCTCTGCAGCAGTCCCCATGGAGATGGTACTGTCAATACCAGGGTGGGAGAGAAGTCATGACACATAAATGACTTTGAAAGGGGCAAGTTTTTATAAGCTACAGATGAAATTAACCACCAACACATTGGATTAGAGATAACTCAGTTTTCTAGAGAAATCTTAATTACCTAAACAAATGGACAAAATACAAGATCTGACACTAAAATGGGTATCACTTGAGATTCGTAACTCAGTTTCTGACACTAAAATTGGCAAGGTCTGACACTAAGATGGGTACCACTTGAGATTTGTAAATCAGTTTTCTGGAGAATTCTTAACTAACCAAATAAATAGACAAATACAAGGTCTGACACTAAAATCGGCAAGGTCTGACACTAAAATCGGCAAGGTCTGACACTAAAATCGGCAAGGTCTGACACTAAAATAGGCAAGGTCTGACACTAAAATCGGCAAGGTCTGACACTAAAATAAGCAAGGTCTGACACTAAAATAAGCAAGGTCTGACACTAAAATCGGCGAGGTCTGACACTAAAATAAGCAAGGTCTGACACTAAAATAGGCAAGGTCTGACACTAAAATCGGCAAGGTCTGACACTAAAATAGGCAAGGTCTGACACTAAAATCGGCAAGGTCTGACACTAAAATAGGCAAGGTCTGACACTAAAATCGGTAAGGTCTGACACTAAAATAGGCAAGGTCTGACACTAAAATGGCTATCAAGAAATTATATGGCAGATAAAGGCAGCTGGCATGATAACCGTCATCACCATCATCCTGCTGTGCTGTTTTATGTCACACGGGGCTTGCAGTCTAGTCCTCTATTCTGTTCTGTGCAGTCCTTTTGATAACATGGATGGAATCCAGTCCAGTCCAGGACCTTGAGCTTCTCTCATCAATGTTCATTTCAGAGTTTCTCTTGGATGTCATCATATCATCTATATGTTTCCTGTATGTCTGTGCCTGTTTCTCCCTTCTTCTCAGGATGTGCCCAATATAGTGCCAGCTTCTTGTCTTATATCTGTTGACACCTTTGATTGTTCAGACATTTCTCTTTACCTTTCTTGAATTCATCCCATTTAATTCCATGACATTAGCATTTGATCAATGCCACAAATATTCAACTAGCATCATATATTTATTATGTCTAAAGACACAGAACAGCTTTCTTACATGTCACTTTTAAAGGCACACACAGTAAACACATGATTTAGATGCCCCCATTTCTTCAGGTACTTACCAAGCAGAGCGTGTCTCTGCTGCCTGCTTCCGAACTAGTCTTTTCTTATCATCTAAACAGTCAGCCAGTTCTTTAATTACCCGTTGCTGATGAGTAACAATGGTGTAGGTGGGCAGATAGGCTAAACTGTCCAAACACTTCAGTGCAGACAGACGGACTTTCTGTTAAAGATCATAATATATGTGAAAAATACACATACAGCATCATTTGTACAGATTTTATTCTATATCACACATATCATAATATGTAAGTAGCTAAGAAATCCTTCTTAAAATCAAATCTTGAGACACAATGGACATATGGTGTCGGCCCAATAGTATTATAGACTAGTGGTTTTCAACTGGGAGGAAAGGGGGCCACCAGGAAGTTTCCGAGGGGAGAGAGGGTTAAGCAATTTTGAAACTGAGTGCATTTGTACTTCTAATGAGCTGTCACACTAACATTATTTATGCAGTTTGATTTGATGGATGTGGATGTTTTCCTCCCAAGTTCTTACTAACAGTGCTTGGGATTTTTTTTTTGTCTTCTTCTTTGTAATCACATGTTTTACAAAGCTGGGAGTGGGGGATTGTAAGGGTGTTGCCACACATTCAGGGAGGGGGGATGCCAACTAACAAAGTGGAGGGGATGCTATAAACAAATGATAGATGGGTATGAGTTTAAAATTCCTGCCACACCTTTAGTCAAAAATGCATTTGGGGCCAAAATTAATTTAAAAATCTTACTGGACTGGGATTCTGACTGCATTAAACGGCTATCAGGCATTTCACTAAATCAGCTCCCAATCAGAATATATATATATTTTTTAAATTGTGTATTAGGAAATAAAGAAATGAACATCACTAGCAAACACAAAACTAAGCAGAACTGTATTTAGACCCTCATGTGCTGATGAGGAAAACTGAAGTTAAAACCTAGAAACTATACAAAACCTTGAAAATCAATAAAACGTATGATATCTCATAAAAATGAAAAAACTGTGGACAAATTTATGGTGACCCCATAATAAACACCAGGCCCTGTAACAGTTTATAGATGAGGTTAGTATGGAACACTATTGATAAAGTAGAAAAAAATTAAGAACTCTTTTCACGTCTTAAGAACTCAAAGTGCTAGACCTATATCTGTATAGACCAATCGGTACTCAATATAAACAAACAACAAAAATATGAAACATGTAAAGTTATCAACAGAATCTCACCATAGAAGAATCATTTTTTGTCAGCAAAAGAAGGTGATCAATCAGAGAGTCAACACTCTGAGTAACCACATCAGGAGCATTGCTGACAGCACTGCATAATGTGGTTAAAGTCTGGCTGTGGCTGGTATTGCCAGGTTGGTCCAAACACAGGAGGAGCAAAGGAACTAACTGCCAATAATAAACAACACACATTTTCACAAAAATTTTTTTCATGACACAAACTACAGCATAAACATAAAGTAATTAAAGGGACATTTATCTTGACAATGTGTTTTGCATATGTGGTGCTAGCCTCAAAGGATAAAAATTTGATACAATGAAGACATTTGCCCTTATAATTAGGTGTGTTGTTTGCCTGGGTAAAGTTTTCAAGTCGTGGCAACCGAGTTTAATCATATGTTTTATATACAAACACTTTGTCTTCTTCAGCATTCAAAGCCCTAGAGGTTCACTGCTGCAGATATCACCCACCTCCATTCATCTTTCCAACTGGTGACTCCAAGTCTTTGTAGGTCTGCCTGTATATTATCTCTTCACAATCTTCTTGGTCTGCCTTGTGGTCTACTCCAATTTAACTCTTATGTGTGTGCAGTTTTCAACTTTAACTATTACCTGCCATCCTCTCTATATACCCCAACTATATCATGATGCCAGTAATTGATGATTTAAAGAGATTATGAATTCTGTTGTTGCTTCTTACTCAAAGAAATTATGAATTTGGTTGCTTCTTACTCTAAACAAAGAAAATTACTTTAGTTAAGTTTATATATAATTACTAACACAAAATCTTTTGATCTGTAAAAGAAATAGTACACTTTTTAATGAAGTCACATACTATAGTTTAATTAAGAAAGCCTGCCACTTAGCCTTATTCCACACACCACACTTGGCCAATTACTGTTCTTTTATGACATAATAACCGACAGGCACATACCTTAGAGAAGTGTGGTTTCATCACCTGGAGTGGGAGGTTGGAAGTAATCTGTGAGATGGCTACAAGATGATTCTTTTTGATTTCTGCAATCAGAAAGAAATAATGTTAAGTAAACACGTTCTATAATTCCAAAGCACTGGGTTCAATCCCAACTGTGGGCTATTTCACAGCAGACTCTGCCTTGCGTTGGTTTCAACAGTATTATCGATAGCCAACCGTTCAGAAGGCAACTGCAAACTACTAAAATTAAAATTGCCTTATGAAATTGCAAACAGCCCAAAAAATGCTTCGGTTGGTTCTGCAGCAACTGTAGGAGACACAACTAGCTTTTGTCTTTTTAGTATTAACTGGCTCTAAACTCAATCGGAAAGTTCTGGTTGTTTATGTCATCCACTTCTGGATGCTCTTTAGTGATACTGACCACATCACCCACCGAGTGCTGATTGGTCTATAGAGTAAAGGTCTAACCTTAAATACCCAATACTCCTGGAAAAAGGTCCTTTACTTCCTATGGTTTGAGTGTTGCATGCACAGCTACTTTACAGATCTGGCTTATTTGTTTGACGCTTCTGGCAGTCTGCGGCAACTTTGCAGAGAGATTTAAAGCCACATGGGATAAACTCTCAGGAGTGGAACTCGGCTCTTTCAAGTCCCAGCTTCTCTGAGACTCCTATATTTGTCTTTCTTTCCCCCAAAAAATTATCTTATCCTTTATAAATCAGCACTTACATGTCCTTAACATTTTCTTGTCTACATTTTATCTACACCTTTTCACCAGTTTAATATTCTAATTACTTGTACATACTTCTTCACCAATTCCAAGTTCTTATTGCATGTTCATACTTATATATCATACAGAATGGAAGGTATATTTATTTAAATATTTTTACCTCTTGACTGGGCCCGGTTGTATCCCTCTAGCAATGACTGTAAATTGAGAGTGAAGAATCGCTGTTTGTAGAGAGGGGTGATGTTGCCTGTCAATTTGACTGTGAACATGTCCGCAATGTCCTCAACAACCAAGCCTATATTCTGGGCAACCGTATCACCAATTTCTGGATCACTTAATAATGTGATTAGCTGGATAGAAAAAAATTGTAATTTTAAAATTATAAAAAAAAAATTCACTTGTTCAACGGTAAGGCAAAATATTAAATGTGGAAATTGTATGCACAAAGGTGTATACATACAATACAGAAATCACTTGAAATCACTACCCTGTGTGTGTGTGTGTGGGGGAGGGGGAAATAACAGACCCAATGCCTCCTAACAAGCAGGTCATGAAAATCGACGATTTAGAGATGTTTCCTTTGAAGTCAGAGTGCATCTGCCTGAGAGGCGACGAACCAACAGTCTCCACACAAATAAGCTGTACCTGTAAAAGAAATGCGCAAGCAAAACTCAAGTTCTGGAACAAGACTAAAGTCCAGAAATTGATGAACAATCAGAACTTTCTGCTGGGGGGTTTACAGCCAGTGAAAATGAAAAAAAAAAACTTCTCATTCAAAGCATACTCATTCCAACCCTGTGCTACCAGTGCCAGACATCATCACTCACAACAAACCAGAAACAATGGTAAAAAAACCACATGGGGGAACTATGAGTAATGTTTACAAACTCGCAATTTGAAATTATACAGGGTGTTCCACAAGACCCTCCCCAGTCAAAGTTTTTAGATAACTGTGCACCGCATCATATGACTTGAGCAGCTGTTAGCGCGGTGCAAATATTCAGTCACTGTAGAGGGTTATCATCATCATTGTTTTTTTTAAAACCACACACATGCATGCACACAAACCACCCACACAAACCCAATTCTGCTAAACACATCTTCCAAAAATACTTGATTTAACATCCTCCATCACTATATATATAGGAAAGTTGCTGTGCCATAGTGATTAGTGCTTCTGCCTAATGAGAGGGGTTCGAGTCCAATCCCCAGAAGTGGCAGGAATTTTTTCCCAATTGTATGGGTTAAGAGTCAACTAGCTTCATAAAAATGTACACCAGATAATTTTCTGGTAACTTTTAAGGAAGGAAAGGCAGTGACAAAGGGAACTAGCCACCCTACTTTGAATGTTCTGGCCTATAGTGTGTAAGGGCTCAACCCTTCACACCCTACTGGCTCAATCTGCTTTAGAACTAACCTTTATAAATATTTATAATTGCTATAATATATTTCTGAGTTTTTCTTCTTCTTCTTTTGCCACCTTGTCTCTGTGAGTCCCAAAGAATGCATCAAACATTCACATATCTAGAAGCCCAATGATAGCAAGATGCGCTGATTTTACTTGCAGCCCAATGTCGCGGTTTTCTGTATTTGCCTTGTGCTTCTCAGGTGGCTAGGGCGGTAGATATGTTTTATGTTTACAGGTTTCAGCTACATCATTTATCCTTTTTTTTTTATCTTACCCACGTTTGCCTCCGAGATGTTCTGCTCTAAAAAACCTCATATGCAGTTTGGTCTGGCCGCACTCTCATGAAATGGCTGAACCATTTCATTTTGTTTGTCTTTTCTAGTGTCCTATTTTTAATGTTTACTTAATTGAAAAAAGACATACATGTGAAGACAATATGCCTGTAGCCGAATGAGCCCTACACTCCATGGCTTTAGTCAACCAAATCCACAGGGTAGCTGCCCGCTGTTTCCGGGATAGCGACTCTGAATTGGCCATCACAGACTTCAGTCTTTCAACAATAGGTTCTAGCAGCCAATGAATGTTGGAACCTGGAAGAAATCATTTAGTCTAATTAGCAATAACAAAATCTTGTCTCACGTGGTACATACATTCACTATGAAATAAACTAAACATAGATAGTGTGTTAAACACACACAAAAATTATATTTTTATAATAAAAAAGTAAGGGTTCTGTTAAAAAAAAAAATAACATGTGACAGTAACAAACTTTGATTAGTAAATACTGGCTTGGAAAATGTGGCAGAGTTACACTGCATACATAAGAATCCTCACGATAAAAGTAGCTTTTCGCAAGATTCAAAATATACTTGCAATTTACAAAGAAAATACAGTTATTAAACAGTATTTTATTTAATATGACATGATTTTATCTAAAACACGTCACATAATTAATACATCAGAGTGATAAATAATTTCCTTTATAGTTTATTGGATATTAGAGATGAAACAATTCTCTTAAGAAAATTGATCTACAAATAATACATATTGAATAATAAAACGTTTATATTTTGGAGAGGAAAAAAGGTCCAGACCCACTGCCCCCCCCCCCCTCAATCCAAACAAGCATGTGATAAATGGCAACTAATCAGGGGTTTATAGGAACTGTATGTTAGACCCAAAGGCAGAGACATTGCAGCATTGCTGTAATCCACAACACAATGTGCCAACTGAAGCATACACTTCTTAGAAATGGATAATTTACAGAAATAACCACAAGTCTGGGATGACAAGTACACAATGTTCTAATTTACTGACTGTCAGTGTTTCCTGTGTGAGTTCGGGGGCATCCTTGTGAGGGCGGCGGGGAAGGGTAGGAGGATAAACCCATTGCCTCCAACAAGCATGTTGTAAAACATGACTAATCACACTAATTAGGGGTGTTTTCTTCAAAGTTGGAGTGCACCTACTTGACAGACGAGGAAACAGATCTTTAAAATGTAAGTGTGCACACAAAATTAAAGTCCTAGAACAAGAACAAAATCCAGAAGCAGATGAAAGACCAGAGCTTCTCCCTGAAATTTATGGCCGGTCTCACTAGGAAAAGAAAGAAGATTGTTTTCATGAGTCAATTTTAGGGACTGCAAACATACTCAGGGATTCTGTTGTAAGATCTCTAGTGGTGCAGTTAGCTGTATGTGTGTCAAAGACTAGACCAGGCTGAATGAATCAGCGAACTGTGATTCAACAACAGTTTGTGCAGCTTAAGAGATATATGGCAATTGTGGGGAAATGCAAGCCTGGTGGACATTTTGCAGTGAAAAAAAGCAAGTGCGCACCAGTGCGTGCAAAATCCTCTGATCATCCTACTTCTCTAAAGGCATTAACAATGTAGGCACAATCCATAGGCTGGCCATATGCCACTAGGGCAAAACCAGCCAATCTATAAGCTCTTTCATTGCCACAACACCTACATATACTCCACACACTATCGAGTTTCGCCATGACTCAATCTAACATCTGCGTACAGACCTACCTCAACAAGCCGGATCATGCTCATTGAATGCTGTCTTTTTTTATGCCATGAGGTATAACGGGTATAAAGTTTTTTAAAAAGTAAAGATCCCTTTTGACGCCTTTATGCGCATCGGGCATATGAGCACCCCATATTTTTACAGACCAATCAGCACTGGATGAGTAATGTGGTCAGCATTACGCTGGCCATCTTAACTTTCCCAGGACATCCATCCTCATACCCATTTCAGGCTAGGTCGACCTGCGACACCCCACAACCAAGATAAAAATCCACACACCCAGCAGTGGGTTTTAATCGCGGTACGCTGGAATTACAAGTCAGACTCGCAAGGCCTAAACCACGGACCCCGCAGGTATAATGTGCTAACACCATATTTTTAGAACAAATAGCGCTTGAATGGTTGTGTGGTCAATGTCTCACCAGTAATCTTTCCTTTTTTGGAACATTTCCTGATATCTATTTTACAATGGGCTGACATGTGAACCCAAAGCAATCTGTGAAAAACCCAAGGCTTTCTTCTGGAAAAAAAGTGCCAGTACTCACCACAGAGTGTGTAATAACAGGTGCTGTATGCACCACAAGGTGTCTATTACAGTAATGTTGACAAATTATGCATAAAAAAAGATACTGCTACTGTGCGTACCGAAGAAAAAAGCCCTGAAAAGCTCACATCTCAATGGGGATTTGAACCCATGACCACTGAGCTGACAGGCAAGCTTGCTGGCAACTGCACTCTTACAGATTCCCTTAACGTAACATGAGGTTAAATGTGAAGGATATTACCTATGGGTGCTTTATTCAACATGGCTGCCAGGCACCTGCAAGCTGACAAATGACTGAACACATCTTCACCTTCCACAGCCAACCTGAACACGGCTTCAAACACAGCATCATGGTTCTCTTTCATGGCCTAAAAAAAAAAAGTTAGTCACATTACAAAAATAAACTCATTGTTAGACCAAACAAACGCCACAGCTAAGACAACCTTCATCAGCAAATCAAAACTGTAAATATATATAAAAAAATTACATGTATAACTGTTAGGTGCATATCCTTTACAGACTGTAAACAAATCCCAGCATTTACTGACTGCATTGTGGTTTTACTTAGCAATGTTATGACCAGCAGTTTGCCACTGCTTTCTGTATAGCACAATGCTCACACCACTGTCAAAATTAATGTAAATGATCGACTGACTGTCAAATGCTATCAAACTGCCTGCAGATGACTTTGAACTCTGGTATGTTAAGACTGGGAAATTACATTCACAACCCTTAAGTTACTGATGCCAACAGTGTATAATAACATGATTTTTTTTTAAAGTGAGCTAAGAAGAACTGAAATAAAATTGGTTCATTATGCTGAGTAAAGTGAGCATCCTTAAAAATTGTTTTCTAAAAAGGCCTTTTTTAGCCTTGAAGAAATAATTAAAACTTTAATATAATGGATCACCAAATACAGTAAAGTATATTAGACTTTCATATATAACAGATAAGGTACAATAAAGTTGGCTTTATCAGTTTCTGGCCTCACCATCTTTTCATCCAAGATAATTTCCAGATAATTCAGAAAATCTTCTTCACGTTCACTGGCTGTAAACTCCGGTGGAAAGTTCTGGTTGTTTATCCACTTCTGGACTTTATTCTTATTCCAGAGCATGAGTTTTGTGTGCAAATCCATTTTACAAATCTGGTTTATTTGTGTGTTTACAGTTGATTCCTTACCTCTCAGGCAGATGCACTCTGACTTTGAAGGAGACATACCTAATTATAAGACTCTTACTACATACTTGTTGGGGGAAGGGGGTCTGTTCTGTTTTTCTCCCACAATGGGGCCCGAACCCACAATGGGATTCCAAAAATGATCCAGCACCCATCTTACTGGATTACTATGGTCAGGAACAAAGTTATGTAATTTTGGTAAATGAACTTGGATCAATTATAGTAAGCACTGTCTCCACATCATCCCATACAGTTGATCTTATTCTTCAGCCTTCCCAGCCCTTGAGGTTCATTGCTGCAGCCATCACCTGCCCCCACTCATCTCTGTGACTGGCCTTTTCTTTCCTGCTGGTTACTCAGGTGTCTATAGGTCTGCCTGTATATTATCTCTCGACCGTCTTTTTGGTCTGCTCATTCAAGCTCTTTGCACAATGTTGCATACATATCCATGCATCTCTCACTAGCTAAGCTAAATGGCCAGTTACTTGTCATCTACTGACCAGGTGGCACTGTAATTTTGCCAGATCATAGATTAATACTGCTTGTCTGGATCACATGTTTTGCTTCACAGATGGTGGTTTTGTTTTGGCCATAATAAAATCATCTCATTTTATTTAATTGTCAGAGGGTATATTAACAAAATGTTGTCCACTGAATACAGATAATATGTTGAGTACAGACCATAATGTCCATAGAATATAAAACAATATGTGATGATCTTACAATATATAATTTTGTAATTGAAACATATACACCAAAAGCAATATTTATAGTACATACAACATAATCATTATTTATAGAAGGTCTATTCAACTAAATTTGCTCAGGGGCCAAAATTTTTAAAATGGGTATCGCCACGGGCCAGAGTCTTACGCCCCAGCATAAACAGCTCATTAATATAGTACAACTGGCAATGATCCGTGGGCCATTTGCAATGCCTTCGCGGGCCAGATTTAGCCTTTAGGCCCCCAGTTGAATAGCCCTGATCTACAGCTTATGCCATGATATCAATTTAAAAAAACAAAAAAAAAAACACTTGCAAACAAAAACTGTGACTACATACCCGAATTTCACCCCCAGTAACAAATCCTTCTAGTAAAGCTACCAAACGTGTCTGCTGCCATGGTGATTCAGGCTGTAGATAGGCAAACATAAAACATTAAAAAATGTACAAAACCTACCATTATTCTTATCAATCACTTTAAAGAGTGGAGTTTAGTTTCTAGTCAAAGTAGCCTTCTAGCTGTCTAAACCACAAACAATCAAATCGTCCACTACACTTACAGTCATGATGTGCTATTAATACCCAATATGGAATGTGTGTTTCATTAATCTCGGACTTTTGTAAGAAAATATTAATTCCATTAAAGAGTGAAACATATAAAGGGTTAAGAGACAGTTGAAGAGGTCTTAAACAATTAGAAACAGAAAAACCGTACTTCTAGGTGTAAGACAAACGTTCAAGAGGAAGACAATGGTTTAGATCATACTGTTGTGTGAAACAGGATTTAAAAGATGTCATCACCCCCCCCCCTTTTTTTCCCCTCTGATATGATTTTTCATGATCAGAAACTGAAGCTTGTCATCTTAAATATTTTTCTTTCCGTTTTTCATCTTTTAGCAGAGAACAAGTCCCAGCCAACTCGCCCCAGCTCTTGACAAGCTTATTCATCACTGGTTGCATTTGGCACCAGCAGTTTTCTGTGGGATGGGGCTGGTCACTTCCATGCCACCCTTCATCAGTCACCCTCTTACAGTACAACATGCATGGTAGATTACAGTATACTCTTCCTTTTTTTTCTCTCTTCACACTCACAGGCTGTAAACTACTGCGGAAAGTCCTGGTTTTTCATCCACTTCTGGATTTTGGTCTAGGTCCACAATGTGACTTAGTTAGTTAGTTAGTTAGTTGGGTTATCCTCATTGCACTCCGGACATGTCCATAGGTGCTCAGATCCTCCCCTCAGTATGAACCCCAATGTCCGATGGCTAATAGTACCAGTTCATTGTTGATTAACAAGTCTTCTGGCGTAGCTGGTGTGCGTCTCGTTTTTTGCTGTGCCGATCTTAATTCCCAAGTCTGCGATTCTGGCGAGTGATGTGGATTCACTGCCACCAAAGTCCTCTATCCTTCCCATTTCTCTGAGGGAATTGATAATATCAGCATGATCCATAGGCTGACCGTCGGTAGTGATAGCGGATCCAGCCAACCTGTCAGCTCTTTCATTTCCATCGACGCCTGAGTGTCCCGGAACAAAAATAAGGGTGACTCCACGAACAGTGGACTTCTGTAATGATTCAAGCCATTGTCTTCGCACTGAACCTGCCTGAACCCTCCGGATCATACTCATTGAATCACTGAGTATACACACACGGGTGTATTTTTGTGTTTCAAGCCAGGCAAGCGCTTGTGTCACTGCCATCACCTCCATCGTCATGCTGCTGGTTGTCATGGAGAAGGCGCCGTTGGCTTCTTTGACTGTTCTGCCCGCTGAGCGTGCTGTAAATGCCCATGCGCTTCTTCTTTGGCGTATAACGGATCCGTCTGTATAGATTATTGCATCTGCTTCGTCTGAATTTTCACCGATGAGAGCGTTGACCTCTGCATTAACAGCAACAGGATTCTCTTCTCTACATCGCCTGTTGAGTGTGACAATACAGTAAAATGTACAAATAAACGCCTGAGGCACAGGTATCCATTCTGCACCAGGTATGATGTCGGTTAGGCTGCATATTTGCCTAATAACATCTTCTGCCCGACCTAGCCACGATTCCCCCCTCTTCAGTCTGTCGCCCTTTTACAATGTGACTTTTATGTGCCCATCCATTTCCAAGATCTGGCTTACATGTGTGTAGACTGTTGGTTTCTTGCCTTTCATGCAGATGCACCCTACTTTGAAGGAAAAGTCAACCCTATCTATGCTGGCCTGGCTACCGGATGGGAACCTGTTTCTATGATGACCAAGGAGAAGTGTAAACAGATCCTGACCAGTATGATTCCTGGTGCACCAACATGTGTGGTTCAGCACTTCTGCATCCTGACTATAGTAAACAATTCTTTGCTTCCCTTAGGGGCCCTGTTACCATTCAAGAAACACTGACTGAGCAAATTCAATGTCCTATCAACGCACAGCCTCTACAGAAGTTTTCATTACATTTTCACTGCCTGAGCCACACTGCACAACCAATCACCAATAAAATGATCTAAACTGCCAACAACGACCTGCTAGAACCAAGATGAATGTTCAAATATTATGACTGTACAACTGACACCTGTATTAAAAATTATTAGTAGTACACAAGACAACAATACTGAGGACTGACTTGATGAGCTAGAAGATGGGAGGAAAAGGTGTAGAGTAGAGGAATAAATGAATGAACAAACAAACTTAATTTCCAAAGGGTTACAAGTTGGACAAACAGGTCCGTCTTACATTCCACTTTTTCTAACGTTTATCTTTCACACAGAAAACGTACTTTATATATAAAGCGGGTGATATTCATATATAAAAATTAACAGAAGAAGAAGTGACAGAGGATGAGGAAGTAGAAGAGACAGAAAGGAGGATGAGGGAAGAAGAAGAACAGGAGGAGGAAAAGAATAGGAAGAGGAGGAGAAGAGTAGGAGGACAAGCAGAAGAAAAAGAAGAATATTAACATTACAACACTGTACCTCCAAAGGTTTCAAGGTTTGGAAATCTCCAGGCAAACTGATACAGTTAGTGTTGCCCTTCATTAACAGCTTCTCCAATCTGTTCCACAGGTTTTCGGAATTACTTTGGACAAATCACACACATATATAATATATCAGAAAGATAACACTACTATTAAACTGAAAATAACAACAGAACAATGGCTATAACATGAATCCCCCCCCCCCCCCCCCCCCCCCCTCAACCCCCTTTACCAGTCAGAGTGCATCTGCATGAGTGGCAAAGAACCAACAGTCTGTACACAAATAAGCCAAATCTGTAAACCAGTTGTGCATGCAAAATCCGAGCCCTGAAGCAAGAACAACATCTAGAAGTGGATGAATAACCACGAGTTTCCACCAGAAACCACAGCCAATGAATGCAAAGAAGAAGGTGATAACATAAATGTCATAATAAATGCAATACCAATATCAGAATAATTATAATACCAATACCATAGTAATTATAATACCAATACCACAGTAATTAAAACAACACCATAGTAATTAAAACAATGCCACAATAATTATAATTATTTTTCACTGTCATCATGTGTAGGTGATCATGGTTCACTCATATCATCATTTTCTTTTATTTTATAACTGTTGATACCAGTAGTTATCAAAACACTTCCTTCATTTCCTTGCCATTTTTTTTAAATTCATTCGATTAAATGTTCATAAATTATCACAGACATTTGTTTTTGAATGCATTTAACTTTTGTTCCTTATCTTGCAGTTCTTCAACTTTTACCGGCATATGTTGAAGTGAAATAACATTAGAACTGAAAATAGGTAACCTGTTTTTGAAACTTTACAATTTAGAGTCCCATATTTTATTCAGCTTTTAAAGGCTGTGGTTGTCTTGCCAGTGTGTTATCATAATTTCTGTTCTTATCTGTGTGTGTTTTCCTTGGCACTCAAAACTGTTACCTATTTAAATAAGTAAACTGATCTGATACTTCAATTCATTTTTTCTCCAGTGTGAGTTCTTGATCTGTTAATATATTTGTCTTTTCATAACTGATTTATAACATGACTTTTGATGCTGGCAAAACGACATGCTCTTACTTATCATAACAATATCATCCATGTTGTATTAGTGTTATCTAAAATATTTACATTAAAAAAAAAATTGAAAGACACAATATAGAAATAGCCAATTGCCTCACCTGAGCTCTACAGAACACCCAATGACTCTAAATATGTCTCGGAAACGAGACATGACCGCGGCCCACTTATCTCTTGCATCCTCTGCTGCATGCAGCACACCAGATACGGACAATTCTCAGCAAGGGCAGGGCGGTCTCGTTGACCACAAGGTTCATGCAAGCCTTGTCTCCAGCCAGGCGGGTCAATAGTTGGGATAAGGCTTCGGTATAGCTGACTACATGTGTCACATTGTCTGCTGCAAATGACAGACACATGCGGATTCTTTACAAGCAATGAATGAAAACAGGACAGACATTCGCAAAATCTAACAATGTGACATTACTGTTATTGTTGTTAGCACATTTTGTCTTTCCAGATCACAGTGTTTGTATTGTATCCTCTTAGGTTTCCTCGCTTCGTCTGTTTACTATTACTTGATGTATAAAAGAAATGATGTATTAAAGGAGGGAGACTTGAAGGGCAGAATGTTAGACATGCCTCTGTCCCCAATCTTAACTCTATGAAAAAAAAGTATGTTTGTTCATTCGTTCTGTTTACCCATTCCAGTACCTGTTTTGTAATTCTTTGCTTTGCCTCAGAATGTGTCCAATATATCGCCAAATATCTTTTTGTTCTTGTGGCATCTTTCAGTCATTCTAGAGTTAAACTGTTCTATAGGTAGGCATAGAAACAGCAGCACTTGGTTGTGACCAGTTTGACTGGCAAAGACCCGCTCATATTAAGAAATGCCTTCCACAATAAGCGCATGTGATTTCAGGAAATTGTGAGCAACAGATTAAAACTCTGAGCTTTTTATCTGCAATAATTTTCTCCTTTATTCTTTTTCACTTCCTGGTTTTCCCCATCATGCAACACAGTTCATGACATTCCTTTCCCACAAATCAATAATTTAATGTGGCGCTTAGATTGAGGAAATCATCTTCTTCTGTGTTTGTCTGACAACATAATTGTGTTGTGCCCCTTCACAACAAGCTGTGATAAATCTGTGCCTTTCAGCTGACAGATTCAATTCTTTTCAGGCATCTGTTGCCAGGTTAGTCTTTCAGATTAGTTCTGTGGGAACTGCAATGCCTCACTGTCCTGTTGTGTCAGTAGTATGGTGATTTCAGTCACAGGCGTGAAGGTCACAGTTGTGATGCGTATGCACAACACCTTACCTTGGGCATCAGCAGGCTCTGTGCTGATTTTATGTATCATCATGTAAGACTCTTGCCACACATCCTTGCACTGCAGATAATGGCTAGCAGGGGATCTTAGAGTTGGTGGCCTATAGAGATGCATCCATAAATACTCTGACTCTCATCCGTCCATACACAGTGCATGGGTGTTAACACCCATCGAAAACTCATTCAGAATATGAGTGAAGTCTGATGGCCAAACATTCTACTATATAACAAACCTTGATCCAAATGTCTGACAGCCGAAACTCCTACTGTGCCCTATGGCATAACAGCCAAGGTAAAGGAGTCCGCTGCATGTATTTTTTGTAGACAAGGCGTTGAGCACCCAACATGTGATTTGCCACTATGGTCGACAGAAGTCGGGCAGTGAGTTGTGGTTGAACTGCGAGGACGTGATCGCGTCATCCCTCGTCAGGATTCTGATTCGACGTGTGTCGGGAGACTTGGTGTGCCTGGGGCAGAGTCTCTAGTCAGTTATTATGTATAGATTTTTGGTGACCCAAAGTGTGGGCACATAAATGAAGCGTTCATTAAGGCTACTAGTGACCACAAGAGTGGGCCAGTAGGCCGATGGTGTATGTTGGGGACTCACGTCAAGTCGAGGCTAGGTGTTCCCTTTTCATATGACACTGCCCTGGAAGCAAATCAGTTGGTATAGGTGGAGCATTAGATGGACAATCATTCTGTATCACCAGTTCATTTTCATCGTCATATTGTGTTTTGTCCCAATAAATAGACTGATGCACGATTATAGAGATGACTCTTCCCGTATTGTTGATGTGGTTCGCTGCTGACTGTTATCGATGTTAGTGGTACAATGTGACTGTGAACTGTGTTAATTTAGTACCCTCAGGTAGGGAACCCAATTAGTCGCGAGAAGGTTGGCTTGGGGAACTTTTGCATATATGAGTGGGGCATAATCAGTCACCTTTAGACACCTGGTCAGGAGGCGATACCATATCGCTTCGCAACAGTCCTACTATGTGAGAAATAAAGTTCAAATATGCTATTTGTCCCACCCGCTGGAGTGTCAGGACCAAAATTACAATTGTGTGGTTATTGTGTGGGCTGCTCCATGTGATGAATGGGAAGGTTAACATACGGATGTGAGGTTAAGCAGTCAAGTAAAGGATGTGACAATTCCTTTGGTAAGCACAGGACCATAGCGTCAAATGTCGGCTCTGTAGTTATGGCAGCCTCTTTGAATGGCAGGTAATGCCTACGATTTGCCCCTGCCTTCCATTGAATGCTGACCAGTCTACATGCTGCTGCCCTAGTTCTCCAGACACAAAGCAATTACAGCACTCAGGCGGACGATGAAGAAATGCTGTGTCAATACAATGTGATATTAAGTATGCTAGAAGTGTTGAGGAGGTTGAGTATGTGACTGGTTACCACAACAGAAAGTCGCACAGTCTAAAAATGTTTTAGAAATACTTTAGAAGCACTGAACTTGATTAATAAATGATTGTCTGTTGCTACTGAGATTCTCTTCAATGGGGTTATGTGTCTGACAGTATCTCTGCCTGGCAGGACCCCATAATATTAGCAGCTTTTCTGCTTTCATTTGTTTTGTGGCAACATCATCAAGCAAGTTACCTTAAACCACTTTGTTAAATCTGTACATTCAATTTCCATAAGCATTTTCCCCAGGTCTGCTTCCTCAAGCTTTTGACTGTCCCAGTGTTTCTCCTTGTCTGGCCCTTATCCCTTAGCCTATATGGTATGTATCAGATGTGCAATAAGTTTTCATACATAGGAACAATAAATGTTTCACCAAATTCATTATAAGAAGCACAACTCCAGCTGTGCTTATACGTGTTCTTCAGCAGTGGACTAAGCACAGCTGGAGATGTGCTTCTTGTAATGAATTTGGTGAAACATTTATTGTTCCTTTGTAGTGAAACATTGAAAAGCCTTAAAAGTCTATAGTTAAGCACAAGCAAGGATATAAAAATTAGAATTTTGAGAACATGCATCTTCCCTGTGGCTACATACGAATGTATGTAGGACTATCTCTCAGTCCTTAAGAAAGAGAATAGGGGCTTTTGAACTTAAATGCTATAGAAAGATTCTCAGAATATCTTGGACAAAGAAGATGAGAAATACTGACATCTTAAAAGATCTTAAAATCAAGGAAGATTGGCTAATAAACAGCATCCTTTCTCGAAAGCTGAAATATTTTGGTCATATCGAGCGCCACGATGGATTAAAAAAATTATAGCAGAGGGCATGGTACCAGGAAGGAGGGGCAGGGGCCAACCGACACGAAGATGGGCACAGGATTTAAGTGACTCCTTGAGTGTGAAGGTGCATGAGGCGGGAGAACTGACGAGAGACTGAGTTTCTTTCAGGCAGACTGTGATGACAGCGATGTTCTGCAAAGGACCTGCTACATGATGATGATGATGATGTACTGAAACATAAATGATTAAAGCTGATTTGTTTCATTATTACCACCAACATCATTATGTGTCATGCCGCTAAGTGCAGGCTGTCATGTTTGCCATCCCACCCAGTCATCAGAATCTTGGATCAAGCCAGTGTTTTTGTCTCACACCACCAATATGGCTAAGCCATCCAGGTATTTATTTCTTTGCCTTCTGCCTATCTTTCTTTTTATCAGTCTTGCCAGTTTGTATAAAGTTCTTGAGTACATTCTTCTCGTAACATGTCCATACACACCCACAAACCAACTATGTATAATCAATATAAACAGTATCAAGGATAACTGCATGATTTGTTTTTCTTCCATTCATCAATATTATTTGTATTTTTCCCTTTCCATTCATCAATATTATTTGTATTCTTCTCTCTGTAAGTAAATTTTTTTTTTTTAGCCTGCAAGTTGTCGATGTCTCAGATGCATAAACAACACTGATTATTTTAGACTGTTACTTTAACACTCTTTTTCTTACTATGGAATGTTCTGATTGTACGTCTACTTGTGGACTTTGGTTTTAATCCAGAACTTGAGATTTGCATGCACATTCATTTTTCAGATCTGGCTTATTTCTATGCAGACTGTTGGTTCCTTGTCTCTCAGGCAGATGAACTTTTTGAAGAAAACACCCCTAGTCACCTCCTACAACATGCAGGGGGAAGGGCATAACTCATACTGGGAAAAATGATTATAAAAAACTTACATGTTATATCTTGGGCAATCATAGCAAGCAAAAATGCATTGACTGTGAGGAATGATTTATCATCAGTCACCACATGCACAAGAGCAACGGCAGCTAGCGGTGAACTGGCTGTGAAAGATACAAATTGTTTTCTAAATCATTCAACACTGGATGTAAAATTATATAATAACATAAATAAATTAATATTGGTAACAAAAATACATTTAGCTTAGTTTAGATTAGTCCACGGATCAAAATCATGGCACACGGGTGTAACCCATAAGTGCTCCGTTATACTTCTAACTCAAGTCTGAGTTAGAAGTATTTCAGCACAGTGCACAAACTCCGTTGCACCGGTGAGGATCCTGAAATACTTTGGGTAGATTTTCAACTCCAAATTTTGTCCGGACAGGTTAGGCTACTCTTTTCAATTTCCAACTGCCAAGGGATTTTTTTATGTGTGGAACAAAAATACATTATAACCCAGAACTGACACTGGCTGTACAAAAAAAAAAAAACGTATAACCTTAGCTGAACTAATACTGGAAAAAATAACTTATTATTATTAATATTACTGAGTTAATATTGGTTGTAGAAATACACTATAACTTAAATTTACACGACTGCACCAGGTATGTGGCTCAATGCATCAAATTTCTTTGGCTTTTTTTTAAGACTCTAGTAACACAAGATATTTCAGTGATATATCAGGAAGATAATTCTAACTGGATGATGGTAGGTTAATCTGTCCTCCTAAGCCAAGGGTAGTGCATAGGGCAGAGGTCATAGCTCTACATGTCTGGTGGTTCATTGCCACCTGTTTTAGATCATGAATGGTTATTAGGCCCATGGTTGAGCCTTCCCTGGTGATGGTTCTATGCGGGGTCTCTCTTAGTCTTCCCCGTTTTCGTTTCCCTTCTGGTGTCCATATGAGTGCTTGATGGGGGAGTCTGGTCTTATCCATTCTGAGTGCATGGCAGATGTAGTTCCAGCATAGCTTTCTTATAAAATTGGATATACTATCTTGCTTGGACTCTTATCTTATTTGCATACTGGGTCTGAAATCTGTCCAGTGTATATTTAGTATTCTTCTAAGGCATTTGTTCTCATAATCATCTACATTTTTTTTTTAAATCTACTGTTCCAATTGGATGATGGTATGTGCCTCATATGTAATTACTGACTGCCTATATGATACTAATTCAATATTACTGTCATCCCTGTCATTAATTTAAATAAGGTGATGCAGAGGTCAACAGGGCTCCTACTGGTCAAGATATCCAGATCTACCTCACAGTCATCTTAGAAACAGCTGTTCCCTGCTGGGGGCTTGGCCAGCATAGATAAGACTGCTGTCTACTTCAAAGTTGGAGTGCATCTGCCTGAGAGGTAAGGAACCAATAGCTGCACACAAATAAGCCAGATCTGTTGTTGTTATCGATCCAGCGGCGCATGAGTTTTCGCCCTTTGGCCCATTGACATGTTCTGGAAATAAAATGTTTTCACAAGCTGCTCTTTTCCTCCATACAAGGTGTTCCACTTGTCTGGTCTTGGAGGGAGTAGCATTCTTCTAGTCTCGCTAAGTTTTGGGCACTCAAAGAAATGATGGTCAACAGTTTCATAGGGGTAGTTACATTGCTGGCACTCTGGGGAGTGTTGTGGCTGTATTCTGTTAAGATATCCATTGAGGGGAATATGTTGTGTTCTGAGTCAGAAGATGGTGGCCTGGTCCCTCTTTGTTCGATAGTTGATGCTATCGTTTTGATCAGAGGTAGCCATATGTCTGTAAATCTATCTTCCAGTATCTCCCATGGCCCATCTGTTCAGCCAAGTCTCTTTGTTCATAGCTTTTATAAGTGTTTTTGCTGTCTGTAGGGTTGTCGCTGTGGGTGGTTCTTATTGTGTTGCTCCTTTCTTTACCAATCTGTCAGATCTGTCATTACCTGGTGTGCCAGAATGGCATGGGATCCACTGCATCACTATTCTAATGTTGTATGAGGCAAAGAGCTGATCAGCATCCATAATTATAAGCCAGATCTGTAAAGCAGACGTGCATAAGACCTGGAACAAGGCTAACATCCAGAAGTGGATGATCAACCAGAATTTTCTTCTCTAGAACCTTGCCAAAAGTATTTAGTAGATTGATAATCCTGAACCCACTGAGTCCTGAATGATCTCTGCCTGGTTTTGGAAGTGGGATTTGGTAGCTGTGTACCTAATCAGAGGGTCTGGTAGTCTGGTAGTCTTAGTTTCAGCTTCATAGCAAACGGGTCGCCCCATCTTTGCTCCGCTCCTGTGCCAACAAAAAACACTCAGAATGTTTATCACAGTCCCTTGTGGAAAGATTGACAGATTGCTGTCTCAGCATATCTAGCATACACTCGCTTTAAAGCATACGGTAGCCATCCGAAGTGCTAGCACAAACAGTCCAACAAAAGAAATGCAGTTCATCATTGATGATAGCAGAATTTGTCGCCAACAGATAAGCAGTTGCTCATGCGATCAATTTTAACCACATACGGGAACCGTCAACATTGCATGACGACAGGCATCACGCCATTTTCTGAATCTACAATTCACACCACCACGTTGGTCACAGTCAAAAATACATTCCAAATGCAATCCGCAGCTCACAGGGTCACGCCATGCATTCAACTCAGAAGCTGGGCGACAAAACTATATCCAGTCTACAAATGGAGCAAAAATACCGGCAGAAGCAAAAAATTTGCCTCTGCTTCGAACAGCGCCGCTGTCTAGCGTCCATTTTAACCGGAAGGGCTAGGTCATAGGGTCAGAGGGTACTGAAGCTGTGCAGAAATGGGTGCTGTCATCAACTCAGAAAACGCAGCTGCTTTTTTTGTGTGTGCTGCTCTCTGACAGCAGAATTATAAAAGCTAATGTTTTAAGCTTCACAATTAATAATAGTAACATCAAAAGATGTTCGCTGAGGTACAAAGTGAAAGAGAAGAAGAAGAACATCAAAAGAGAAAGCAAACAGAGGTTCCTGGGTATTATTTTTTTAATCGAAACCTGTCCTTTAGGGATCATGTGAAGGTAGTTGTAAAAAAGGACAACAAAAAGGACTCAATGCTGTCAAGATTATGGCAGCAATTGACATGGAACAAAGACTGCTGTTAACAATGTGCATATGATTCTGTCGGCGACAGATTATGGACTTCGAATCCTTACGATATCAAAAAGTCAGCTGATGAAACTTGAACACATAACAATGAAGCCATGCAGGTAATTCTGGGATGTACAAGAGATACCCCGGTGGTATGTATGTAATACATACTTGCACAGCCTGCTATTGCAGACAGGCTCAATTTCTGCAAGCAAAGTCACATCTCACAGTAGCTGCAGACAAGTACCTCCTGCATAAAGCCCTGGATAGAGCTAAGGGTCACAGACTGAAAACAGGAAGGTCTTGAATAGCGCAAACTGAAGACACAATTGGACATGTGTGCAGGCTTGATAAATTTAAGCGAGTAGAAGAGTCGGTCAAAGTGTCTGAGCAAGTTGCAGACTTTTCTAAGGTTCTTATCACTTTGGGTCATGAGTGCAGTGACTGGCCAGCTGGTGCTACAAAATCAGAAGTTCAACATATGATTCATGACAATTCCCATCCAGGTAATGTGATTATCTAAACAGACAATTCTGTGTTGAGGGGCAGACGAAGTGCATGGAAGTTCAGAGTAAAAGCGAATGGACGTCGCTTGGTGCAACAAAGCCTGGCAAATATCACAGCCTCTAGTTTGATAATGGAGGTGGAAGCAGTCACTACTGCCTTCCGTTGGCTTGAGAATCAGCTGTATACATATTGTGACTGTAACTGACTCACAGAGCATGTTAAGAAAAGTGGATACAGGCATGCTCCGTGCAGAGTGGCAAGCACTTCAGAGTTTCCAGGTAGTTAGCAACCTTTGGTAGGTAGGTAGCTTATACCCCACCAGGACACCACACAAGCTATAAAGACCCGGTGACACAAAGTGCTACCATGCGGATGAGGATCACCCGTGGAGAGGTCCCGGAAACCTCGTTCAGCCGTTAGGCCATATTTATGGCCTAGCTATATTTAGGGCCCCCGGCACAAGCAACCTTTGGATATTTTCTCCAGGTCATGCCAGTGTCTTGGGAAAAAAGCAGGCAGATAGACTGGCCAGTTCTGCACCGAACTGATGTACAAAAAGCTAGATATTGTGAAGGCCCTTGGGGAGCAGATGAAAAGTGTGGAGGCATAGATAGATCATTAAGGTCTGAGGAGAATGGCACTGTGAACAGTTACAAGTGGAACTGGCTGACACTCAACACTCAAGGGAAAGGCGAGACGGATATACAATCAGACAGTTTCTGGTGCTATTGGAATTTAACTCTTCGTTTGCTGTTGAAGATGGGGACGGAGCTCTTTTGGGGGTGTCCTGAGTGCAATGATTCTTAATTCAACATTTAATATCCAGAACTTTCTGCCATGGTTTACAGCTAGTGAATGCTAAGAAGTGGAATTCAAACATTACTACTGCAGTAACAGATATTCAATTCCAGCACTTACTTGATTTCACCAGCTGGGTCAGAGAATCAATTGCCCTGTCACGCAAACCTGAATTTTCAGTCACAAGTACATGCAGTGATGTCAACAACTGCTTTCTGCAATATAAAGTTAATTACTGTTCTCGTCAAACTGTCACTGCTGAAATGTACACATTATGTTATATTATCATCATCAACTTCAATGTACACTGGGCATTCCCATGAATGCTCAGTCCTCCCATGCAGTAGCCACTCCAAGGTACCTCTATTGATTGTTTCCATGAGAAGTTGGCTACAGTTCTAACCTTGAAGATGGCATGGACATGCTTTACCAAGATTTATCCCTAATCCTGTTAGGATGGTTTTTTTTTATAACACTGCCACAAAAATACCTCTTCCCTCTATCCCCCAAGCAGATCAGAGTACTAACACTGTGTTCTAAGAGATGTCCTTACTGGCCTATATGCAAGACAGCAACTTCAGATGTGTTCTAGTTCACATTACAATACAGGGATCTTTTTACTTCTAATTTGTGCATGCTTGACTTGCCTCAGATCTCAGTGTAAGACCTGCCCATATATAGTATACAGACAAATCTAACTTTAAAGAGAAGGTCTACAAGGTGTGGGCTGTACCTGGCTCATAGCAAGTCTTCTCTCTCTCTCTCTGAGTGCTTAGAAGGGCCGAATGTCAGACGGGCTTGCGTGCCCGATTTGTAACCCTTTGAAAATAAATTTTGTTCGTTCTCTTTCTCTGTGTATATACCTCGTATGTACTGGCATCACAAGATTTTCTCTTTGTAAGTAATTTCGTTTCTGATTTTATTTTTCTAGGTAACTTCCTAAGCCTATCTACAAAATCTTGTTCCTGTGTTACTATTTTCTCACTAATGATACAGAACATGTGCAGCTGGAAAGCTGTGTTGAAATTCTCAATTCCCAGGTGGGTTCTGGGCCAGATTTGAAGCTGGTGAACACTTAGGAAGAATGAAAAGAAATTCTCAGCAAGGTGTTGGAGATTTTGTTGTTGTTGTCTAGAGAAAACTGTTTAAAAAAATCCTTAACTGCACAGTTCATGGGGAATGCACCAGCCATAAGGCCTTAAATCCTCAGATTCAAAACCCTCCTGTTCTACCCTGCCCTAATAAGTGATAAATAAAGTGTGTGTGTGTGTAAGCGACTTTGGCAGCGAGTGAATAGTGTGGAGGTCATCACAGTCTGAGAAGAATGGTGCTGCGACGAGTGACCATGGAATGTGGCCAATGCTCAACATTTAAAGGAAAGGCGAGGCTGATATACAATCAGACTGTTATTGGTGCCATCAGAATGGTAACTCAGTGCTTGCTGCTGAAGATGGGGACGGAGCACTTAATTCAACATTTGGATACAGACAGTAAAGACAGTTCAGTAAGTTCAAACACTCACAGTTAAAATAAAGACTGCATACCTTAGAATGTTATCATGATCCATCACAGACTGCTTCACCAGGTAATCAAGAAAGGTATCACATTTGTCCCGTACTGAATCAAGCCTTGAGTTAATAAGGACAGTAAGGGCACTAATAGCTTCAAGCTGCACTTCATTATTCTCCTTCTTAAGAAGATCTTCGTACAGCAAGAACAGTGAGGGTAGATGCTGCTTAAAAACTTCAGTGACATCTGGAGGAACATTGAATTGAAATTCACTTCAGAAACAGTAAAAATAACTTATCTATCAATTTGTGGACACTTATTATTCTCTAACTCTTTCCGTAGTAAACAACTCAAAGATGCGTATTTGATGATTACAAAAATGGTATCATGTTCATGCTGTTGTCTAGCGCAGACAGAAGTTATTTTAGCCCTAAATATATTAACTGTTGCCTTGACTCAAAGGTTGACCCGGCCTTGAGTGGGTACCGGGTGCAGTCCCAGTAAGTAAAGGCGGCTGGCTTGATGATGACCACATCACCCATCTTGTGCCGATTGGTCTATCAAAATAAAGATCCTGCCCTATATGCCCTATAAGCTTAAAAGAGTGGTAAAGGGACCTTTACTTGTTTGTTTTTTTCAAATGTTAATTGTTCAGTAAACTAATTTTGCCCGACAGCATCTATGTTCTGCACTGTCAAACTTGAAAATTTTATTGTATTTAAGGTCAACTTGCTGGTACAGACGGTGTTTAAGTAGCAACAGCTTAAGACTGAAAGAGCTAAGGAAGCCACAGTAATGCAGTGACTATAAGATTGCATGTCAACTCCAAGGTTTTGGGTTCAAATCCACACTGAATCAGATTTTATTTCAAACAAATGACTTTGGCTCCAAAGTCAAGCCAACCTACAATGTGTATCATGAAATTTCATTGAGTGCCGACTGCTCCATTAACTCTTTCAGCCCCAGGTAGATTTTATTTAAACCCCTTCTACCCAAAGAGTTGAGCTTAAAAACACTAAACACTCATGTCTGAAGGGGTTTAACAGAAGCAGTTAAACTAATGATTCGGATTTGAAGAGGGAATACAAAATCTGTCTATGGTATAGAAAACAGTAAGACCAACACTAACACACAAATAAATAATAGCATGATCAGGAGCCAAAATTATAACCGAAGCCATTTAGGAGAGGCTAGCTCCCTAGGTAGTGACTGAACTTCAACAACTGAAACTGATGATGATGATGAAAACAGTAAGAATGTTGTATTTTCTTTGTAATGTATGTGTTTTTTGACAGTGAAAGAGTTAAAACATGGCTCTAATGCCATATGCTAGCTATACCAATGGTTTGAAAGAAAAAAAAATTTTTTTTTTTTTTTTAGTTATCTCTGAAATATCTTTGTCAAAATAAAAGCGAGAAACTGGTTTACAAGCTTGCATTGTTTAAAGTAACCTACCTATTTAAAATCACTGATACATTGGAATTAGGGTACAAGACTCATTTTTTTTAATAGACTAGTGGTTCTCAACCTTCCCAATGTGGCGACCCTCTAATACAGTTCCTCATGTTGTCGTGCCCCCCCCCCCCCCAAACCATAAAATTATATTTGTTGCTACTTTATAACTTCAGTGATATGTGTTTTCCGATGGTCTTAGGCGACCCCTGTGAAATGGTTATTTGATTCCCAAAGGGGTCATCACCCAGTTTGAGAACCACTGTTATAGACAAAGTGTAAATGGGATCTTCTTCTTCTTAGCATCTATAAACTCTGACGGAAATGTATGGTTGTTGGTATAATTCTGGACTCTGGTCTTGTTCTAGAACTTGAGTTTTGAGTACACATTCATTTTACAGATCTGGCTGATTTGTCTGCAGACTGCTGGTTCCCTGACTCTCAGGCTCAAAGAAAACACCCCTAATTAGTCACCTTTTATGACATGCTTGTTGGGGAGAAAGGGTGTGTGTGTGTGGCACAAGCAGGTCTATTCTTATGCCCTCAGAATGGGGCCCCAACACACACATTGGGTGCAAATTTGATACGTTCACATGATCAATATTATGCCAGCCACCTTTTCTTCCCATGATATTTCCTGGTACTAATGCTTAGACTAGGTCAACCTGGAAGCTATAGGTTAATCATTTACAAAATCTACCCTGATAAGTATTCAAACTCATTGTTCATACTGAAAAGTATGCTTAAATTATTTGGAGTCAATGATGAGACAAGCTGTGGTAAAATATATTAGAAACTAACAAAAGATAGTAGCTCACTTTCATTAGTCTGGTAATGCTGAAAAACTTCTAAGAATCCTTTCAGTTCTTTCAAATAAGCCTGTTGGTCTGACAGCTGAAACAAACAAGTTTAGTTGCTACTGTCACAAACTATTAAATTTTTTCTTCCAGCAATTTTTAACTATTAGATCAAGCTGTTGTTTTACTCAAAACAAAATAAATTACAAACCAAAATGTGCAAAATATACAAGTTCTAAGTAAAATGGTGCAATTCTGAAGAGTTAACAAGGTTTTAACTAAACTTTTATCACAATATAAGAAATGTTTGGCATAAACAATAATTATACATAAAATGGGTAAAACATGTTGATATTTCTTTTCTATTCATAATTTATTTGTAAAAATAAGCAACTGACCTATTTTTGATCCAGTGATGCAGTGGGCATCTGATAGACTTGTATTTATATAGACCAATCAGTCCAAGATAGGTGATGCGGTCAACATCAAGCTAGCTGCTTTTACTTAATAGAACTTTACCTGTTACCCTTTTCTGAGGCTGGATCGACCTGGTAGCTAAGGTGTTTGTATTTAGTTTTTGAATTGTTTTTTTTTTTTAAATCTACCTGGATGTAGATTCAGACCCATGACCTTCAGGCTGAGGTCGGAGTGTCTACCTGCTACACCACTGAGGCTTCCCCAGAACTTCTGGTTTGGAGATAACTGTTCAATGTTGTTCCAACATGCTTTGAGGGGTGTACAGAGCGTACTGTGCCAGCCCAATATTTTTAATTACCAAACAGCGCTTAGAGGGTCATGTGGCTAGTTTAATGCTACCCACCAAAGGGGTGGCAGCAGCCAATCTATCAGTCTGCTCATTACCCCACACACACGAATACTGAGGGCAGAAAATCTATGCATAGGATGGTAGTTTCAGTATTTCATTACAGCCTGCACCTCCAGTCTTATATTGGATGTTGTGGCATTAAACACAAGACTGTTTTCAAACATCCATTCACTTTGCAATAAGATTACCAATTGTTTGTCTAGATCAACTCTGAAGCCCAGCCCATTTACAAAAAAACTTATTCTGATGTAGATTCAATCTTGTGACTATGACCACGAGATGTAGAAGCCACTGCATTATTCGGGCTAACTAACAAATATGAAAATTCTTCCTCAGCATTCTGAGCCCTTGAGGCTCAGTGCTGCAGAGAATACCCACCTCCATTCATCTCAGTGACTGGTCCTCTCTTTCCATTTGATGACTTCAAGTGTCTAGGTCATTCTGTAAATTCTTTTTCTTCTCCTCCTTGTTCACCAGCTGTAAACTTTGGCAGAAAGTTATAGTTGTTCATCCACTTCTAGACTCTAGAACCTGAGTTTTGTATGTGCATCCGTTTTACAGATATGACTCATTTGTTTGCAGACTGTTGGTTTCTTGCCTCTCAGGCAGGTGCACTCTGACTTCGAAGACAGCTCTCAGTTAGTTGGCTCTTATGACATGCTTTTGGGCAGGCAGTAGGTCTATTCTTGTTTATCCTATAACAAGGCCCCAGAACCCACACAGGGAATGTTCTGCAAATTATCTCCCCACAATCTCCTTGGTCTACCCCCCATTCAACTCTTTTGAGTATGCAGTTTCTGTCTCTCTATTATCTGCAATTCTCTCTATTTGTCCCAGCCATCGCAATCTACTAGATCTTATGATGCCACTAATTATGATAGTAGGGGAGCGTGGGTAACACAGCTAACAGCAGGGTCCCCCAAGCCAGACAGGTCAAAGGGTAGAGAACAGAAAAGAGACACCCTGGCTCCTCCATGTTAAATTAAAGTCAAGAGGACTGACTTCACTGCACTGGATTTTATCCCATGTCTCAGCTTCTCTCCACAGACTAGCCACCTTCAGAGATTGTCACATACAGCATCAATACCATAACTCTGGTGATGATCGTCAGGGGTCTCTTGAAAAGCTGCACTTATGAACCAAACAACGTCACCGTGAAACAAACACACAACCTTCAGAGTGCGAGGCAAAAAGGTTTCAACACTCTGCCATGTAGACCCCTCATTGGTCCTCCAGACTGGAAGCTGAAACATGGGGAAGACATCTCCAGCCTTGTAAAACCTCATTACGTCATGAAACAGATGTCTAAGTCTCAATTTTGGATATAAATAAATGACAGATATTTTCATTCAGCAACAGCAAAGTTTCTAAACAAATTCTAAAAACCTACATGTGCTTCCTTAGCACACTGGTTGATCAATGTTGATAAACACAATGAAGCAACAGTGCACAGAGAAGATGGACTCGCTGAAGCCACAGACTGTAAGAGGGAGTAAGCCAAGCAGCTCTTCTTTACATCAGATGCCTGCAGGTACTGTGTGATATCTGGAAAAGGAGCGATAATAAGCTTTCATTCAGTTAGATTAAATAAGCAACAGTACACGTAAAACAACATGTTAAGCTAACCTGACTTAAAAAACTGGCTGCACGTGGACTTTCAGGAATCTCGGTTTCCTTATGAATCTTACAATGAAGGTGGATACAGGATACTGGAGACACATTAGGCATGAAAAAATGCTGACCCACAACACAAAGAAGTGTCATAAATACAAACACCATCTGGCAAGGCACATGACAATGATGAAGTATAAACAACTTCTTTTTCATGGTCACAGGATGTAAACTCTGGTGGAAAGTTCTGGTTATTCACCCACTTCTGGGATTTAGTCTTGTCTCAGAACCTGAGTTTTGTGTGCAGATGCATTTTATAGATCTGGCATATCAGTAGGTTGACTGTTGGTACCTCACCTCTCAGGAAGATGCATTCTGACTTGGAAACATTCCTAATCATTTGACTTTCACTACATGCTTGTTAGAGCAGTGAGTCTATCCCCCCCACAAACACAAAGGGGCCCAAGCACCAACCAAGGGTACAAACATACATAACAAAGACTACTTACCCTGGTAAAGATCAACTAAAGTTGCTGTCATATTTTCAGGGCCCTGAAACAAACAAGAATAATTACAACACACACAGTAAATGAAACCACAGATAAACTTACTAAGAAAGGGGCAGAATGTGGCCAGGAAGAGAATGCAGTAACATACTATGAGAAGAAAAGGGCCATCTAGGCTATTAGAAAGATCTGACTACCACTTACAGGAAATAACAAACTTAACCAGCATATGCACAGGCTTTGTCTATGTAGTTCACCTTTGTGCCTTTGTTGGCTATGTGTGCAGACTATAGAACATGTCCTGCAAGACTGTCCCTTGTTCAGCCCATTAAGAAGGGAATACTGGCCCAGTGAGTCAACACTGCACACAAAGTTGTATAGACTAAAAATGAACTCATAAAAACAGTCAAGATTATCACAAGAACCTGTCGGTGTAAATCAGAAAGTGAACACAACAAGAATAAGAAGACAACACACTCATTTTCAGTGATGAATACCGACCGATCTGTACAATACTTTAATGATGTTAATAAACTAGGTATCCTGCTATCCCTATAGTCATGTGTTCAAATCTTTGAGTTGAATTTTTTGAATGTATAAAATATGTGTCCCCGTCAGAAGATGAGGAAACTGTCAATATCATACTATCACAATGCTTTCATCACGAATGATAGATGATGGATGACAATTCACCTGGGCTGAATAGAAGTCTGAAGGGGAAGTCGACGTGGACAGAAGAAAGAAAAAAGGATGTGCGACTACTGTGTGCCATTTATGTCAATACGGAAGACTGAGACATAATAATTAAGTATGTATATTTTCACAGGACTAGTGAACTATATGTATTTTATTCATTTCCACACCTGGTCACGAAAGAATCCAAGACAAACTCCTTGATCCTTAAACCTTTCTCCCCGCAAATGCTAAAAACAAATGGGTTATGAACCCATTTTCCTTTTAAAAACAAATATTTGGCACAAATAAGTAATAAATTAATTTATCTACATTTTTGTAAATTTTTGTTTCAAAACATACAAAGATATATACAGGAAGTAAACACAAACAAAGTAAAGAAGTTAATGAAAAGCATTCTTCAGGGCCCAAACCAATATGTATCTGGTGACTCATGCCAGGACCTCGTGACCTTTATCACTGAGGCTTATGGGAAAACTTTAAGTCATCCTGGATTTAGTTATTATTTTCATATCCGGGCCCCCTAAACACTTTGCCGGTGCTCAAACACTTTTCAGGCACTCACAGAATCAATGGCATTAAACTACACTTTTCCTCACTACAGAAATGGTAACAACAAGGGCTTTTACGGGGCTGTATCACAACTGGAAATGACTACTAGATTTAGTCTTCTTGAGTGAATGGGCTAAGGTAATAATTTAATGCTGCCATATCTGGAACACTGTCAGGTTAGCCAATGATGTTTATGTCTCACCCCTGAAACAAGGTTTATGTGTGTGTACAAGGGAAGGGGGGGGGGGGGGGGGTGTTTGGAAAAGCACTTATTCATCAAGGATATACCAGGCTGCAGTTGTCCTGTGGTAAAATTCTACTTCCTTGTATCTCTCTCACTCATTTACTGCCTATAATTGTGTGTGTGTGTTGTCCATCAAGATGATGATGACCACACTTTTTCATCAAGTATGAGTACGAAGATGACTGATGAGGCCGATGCAGGCCCGAAAAATTCTGGGACAGTAAGGACAGGGAATGAGTGTTGTGCCAGGGAGGGGATCTCTGCAGTGGCCTTTCTGTCCATCCTTTATTATAATCAGTCTTGCTGTTCTCTTTGCTTCACATGTAGAGTTGAACGCCATGCATTTCAGTCTTGAGAGGCAGCCTCCCAATTGGTGTCATTCATCTCAAATGCTTTGAGTGAGGGCTTCAAGGTGTCCGTCCTTAAAGCGTTTCTTTTGCCTGCCTTGGGAACGTTTCCCATTTTGCAGCTCACCGTAAAAGAGTTTTTTTAAGAGCCTGTGATCTGTCATGCATGCCACATGACCAGCCCAACAAATGTGGTACTGCATCAGTAGAGTGTGGATGCTGGAAGGACACTAATTGTAGCCGTGTGTGTGAGCGTGTTTTTTTGTTTGCTGGTGTTTTGTTTTTTCGGTGGAAATTATCTAAAAGAATCATATCAGAAGTACATTATCCACATCTTTGGATATGCCATAAGGAAAGGAAAGATACGGTACTCTGTGACAACAGGAAAGTTTAAACAGAAAAGAGGCAGTTTGTCATCACAGAAAGAACTGGTAATACATGTAAGAGAGGGCTGTGAATAAACATGATGACCAACACAATACAGCATGGACTGTAAGAACGAGCTAAAACATCATTTCAAGCTCCATTTTAAAAAAAACGAAGTGTTTACCTTATCTGATAAAGCCACTGCTGAATATACTGCCTTCACTGCTTCTTTAGCAGCTCTAGATAGTTCCGGTGACAAATTCATCAGTACCTGATTCAAAAAGACAAAAGCTCATTCTCAAAACATGCAGTTAACATTTATTACTGCATGCTTAGGGAAAAGAAAGGGAAACTACAGTAAACAGTAAAATTCTCACCACAAAAGATAATCAAAAAATTTGAAAGAAGAGCTGAACAGCTTTACAAGAACATAATCATGAGTGACAAACTGAATCTTGTAGCTAGAAAGCCTACAACAGCGTTAAAAAAAAAAAAAGGAAACAAATGGTATAAACACTTCAAAATTCCTATAAAATGGCTTAACTGTTTAGAGGCTGAAGAAACCAGTGGTGGGGTGCAATCAATTCACACATGTAAGCAGTTTAGACAAAATAAGCATTAGCAAACAAAGATTACACTGGAGAGGGTATCACGTGATGTTTTTCTGTCACCGCCTCACTACTAAGAGTATTCACGCATGATGCAGCATGATGACCGAACCAGCTCCTCCATTTTTTGCTGCTCGCTCCAGTGATCCATCAGTGTATACGTGTGTCCATTCGGCTTTTGGTTAAGAGTTGTAGATATATTCAAGGGTCTTTGCATGCAGTACTAGGTCACATTCTTCAGCCCTGTCTATGCCTGGGATTGTTGTTGTGACTGTATAGTTAGCCAGGCCAGGCCCTGGCCATCTGACCAACTTGATTGTGACAATTACTTACAAGATAACAAACAAAGAAGACATATATTTTATAAATGTATCCATACATTCTCAGTCCACCTGCAGTCACAGTCTTTGAACACTCAGGCAAATTCTTATTATCAACTCCAGTTTGTCAGTTCAATAAACTGGGTGTTTAGTGTTAGCTCAGTGGGTCATTATATCTTTATTAGCTCACAGAACAGCTTCAGCAGTTTGTCTGCTCAGTTGACAGAAGCATAGTGATAAAGCACAAAGACTACATATGTCAAACACTGAAATGATCACCTGGGTTGGGTTTTGGTCTCCTTTGTCCTTTTTCTTCTTCTTCTTTGTTCACCGGCTGTGAGCTTCAGTGGAAAGTCCTGGCTGTTCACCGATTTTGACTTTATGCCAGGGCCTGAGTTTCGTGTACATCTGTTTTACTGGCTTATTTGTGTGAGGCTGGTTGTTCCTTGCCACTCAGGCAGATGCACTCTGACTTCAAAGGAATCTCCCAATTAGTCGACTTCAACAACATGCTTAATGGGGAGGCAGTGGATCCCCTCTTGTTTTCCCCCACATTAGGGGCTCAGAACCCACAGGGAAAGGTCTCTTGTGTCCAAGCCATGAGTGCAGGTGTGTCAGAGACCCCTTGGGGGTCATAACTGAATCTTCTTCTTGTTTTCTGATGCTTGACCTCTCCTATCATTATTTTGTATGTTTAAGACAAGTTGTTTTCTCAAAAATTAAAGTTTAAAATTGGGTATCATCTTTTAAATGGCTGGTGTTGAAAACATTTATTTCTTAATTCTGGGCCCCCCCCCCCCCCCCCCCAAAAAAAATAAGGGACATCTTATACATTAAGGTGGGGGGGGGGGGTGGGTTAAGCTTGAAAAAATACTGTTAATCTGTTACATATAACTCACCTCTCTCTTAGCAGACGATGTCAGTGAGCCCAGAAAACTGTTCAGACCTTGATACCCATACACAGGAGCACATTCAATCTAAAATTGTGAAGTCCAGACAATTATATATTTATATCTGTTTAAAAATCTAAAATCACAGCAGTCTTTACTATTGACTGATTTCTGCTAGGACAATTTCTTTGAATGAAGTAGAATGACACCAGCCACTTTCATTATTAAACTTTGATTAATGAGTGGTCATCAGATATGATTGATCTGGAAGACTGCATTTGAACCTTTAAGTATGAGGCATTGATGTTCACAGTATTTGTGTTTTCATAAGCACTTGTCACTACTTAAATGAGTTGGTATAGAGATTTTTCTAGAAATCAAGTAACAAAAATTTCCATAGAGAGTTGGCAAGTTCTATCTTCTCTCCTAGGTTACATAATAAGACAGACACAGGAACTTCACACTGCACTGAAAAATACTAGAACCAGGTCATTTAAGCACAGTGCATATCGGCAGTGTTGGATTAGGTCTATGTCAATAATGTCCTCCACAGGTTTTTGAAAAAACCTACATGTCTCGTTTGTGAACTTATGTCCAGCAATGTCACAAAGTTTTATCCTTCTTTTTAAAGGAGTTTTGAAACCTAAATCAGAAGTCTGAATATTCTTTAATAAACTCACATTCACTTACTACCCAGATTCATCATCAAGTGCCTTACCAACAGGCATAGGTGACCATACTTCCTCATCTCTTGTGATCAACACTGTGTGTCAGTGTGTGTCCTGACACTCTTCTGAGCCAAGACAAAGGACAATCAAGAATATTTTTTTCAATGTCTTCCTCTAATGTCTTTCCATACCTCTTTGATACCCACAATTAAATTTGCTGAGGACTGAAACGGTCTGCTACCTACTAATAATGAACCCACAGATGCCAGCAATGAGTGCATACAACATGAACATGGAAACATCAAGAGGCAGACCTAGAACAAGATAAACTGAAGGAGCCACTGACAGTTTAAGACCTCACCACATCAAGTAACCAGGCGCACCCTGTCTCATCTACCTATCACCAATTAAACTGTGAAGCCTAGCAGTACAAAGTAGATAATGACACCAGAAAGAAGAAGAAAGAAGAGATAACGCTTTTCAACTGTCACATGTTCCAGTTGTTTCTCTCATAAGTGGTCAACATGTACTAACAATTCCCTTGCGCATTGTTTGGTCAACAAAGAATATAAGCCTAACATCATCATCATGTAGCAGGTCCTTTGCAGAACGTCGCTCTCATCACAGTCTGCCTGAAAGAAACTCAGTCTCTCGCCAGTTCTACTGCCTCATGTACTTTCATACACAAGGAGTCATTTATATCCTGTGCCTATCTTCGTGTCTGTCGGCCTAACACTGTACCCAAAACCTGCCTAATGGCATGTAAAATGGTTGTGTCTATCTGATATCAGATTTATTATATATATATATATTCTGAACAAAATAAAAAATCACAACAGCAATGAAATACATATCAAAATATAAATTACTTGTTTTGTAAAGTATATTATGTTCAACTTTTGATAAAGCAAGTTCTAACCAGTGTGAGGAAAAGCATCAAGGCGGGCTGCTTGAAGATCTGAAGTCATTTTCTCTAAAAGGAGCGGTACACTGTACTCCGCCAACTCTGAGCTGGCTGCTAAACATTTCCTCAAGGCTAGAATAAGATCCTCTTTGGTGATACCATGTGGATCATTTACAGGCTGTGACATAGAAAATATGATCAAGAGTCTACAATGAATAGTATAATCATACTATAAACAAACAATAATACCAAATAATGTCCACCTCTACTAAGATCATTTTTATGTGTTCAGCTTAATAAACAAAAAGATAAGTTGCCTCGTGAACCATAGTCGCCCTTACCTGCACAGGACTGCAGGTTACCCCTGGCTGGTGTAGTCATTATGGGTGCCTTAATTATATTGGTAACTTCTTTAGAGGTTGAATGGGGTATTATCTACCTTGTTGATCTGCCATCCAGAATGAGATTTTTTTAAATCTTAAGAAGGTATGGTAAACCTTTAAGTAGCAGCTAGGAGGGGACAAATCAATTGCTCGATTGATCAAACCATAGTCACCAGCAAGAGGTGTTCATAGTTTTGTTTTTCAACTTCTCTCAGCTGAGGGTCGTGTCTGAGTTCTCAAATCATCACAAAGTTACGATAAAGGTAGCCCTGTAGTAGATACTGCCACTGAAGTTTGAAGTGTTAGGCCTTCACACATTATAGACCTCTACATATCAGGTAGGGTGACCAGTTCCCTTCTTCGCTGCCTTTCCAGTCGAAGAAAAGTACATTTTCATGATATATGTTCTGAAATCTAGAGGTCATTTTAGCATGTAAAGATCTCCTCGATCTACAAGCGAGTTCTGTTCCAACTAACAGGTCTTAAGTCAAATTTTTTTTCAACGCTTTTGCATTTAAAAGGGTTATAAAAGTTGTACATAAATTACAAGACGTCAACAATACAAAAGGTCAACCTGTGTGTGTATAAAAATTGCACATAATGTGAAAAATACATAGGATACACTCTACTGCATCAGTTCCTGGAACTTTTTGACCCTAACAATATAGTTATCCTTCTATGCTTACTATTTTTTTATTTTTTTTATTTTCTGTGGTTGTAAATGCGGATGGTCAAAAGTCACACAGGTCCTAAACTGAGGAGACTGAGGCAGTCACACCACTGTGATTACTATAATTCAACTACATTTATGATGCAAATTAAAAAAAAAAAGTACTTACTGGAGTGAAGTCAATAGGAAAGTAACAGCCAAGGACTTCAAACATTTCTTCAGCAAATGGTCCTAATTTATGAATACAGATGCATTCAGGCAGTAATTAAAAGCACACAAATTAAACATTTATTACTATTTAGCAAAGAAATACTTATCTTAGAATAAATAAAATGAAATATATATAACAAAAACTATTGGACACAGAAATATATTTCTTAGAATGACATTTTCAATAACTACTAACAGAAATGGAAGTCAATTAAATCGGTGATTCCCAAAGTGTGTGCCGCGGCTCACCTCTGGAAGCCGCGACCTCTTTACGGAGGCGCAGTTAAATATTCGAAGATACACGAGTTTCATTTTTGTTTCATTTTTGTTACATATGAATAGTCATACTTTTACTTAGGTTAGGGCGCCGTGGAAAAATTGTAATTTAAAAAAAGGCGTCGCGTTTAAGAAACACTGCAATAAACTATGGCAATGTCCTGGACTTTGCCAACAACATTTCTCTTCTATCCTATTCAAGAAATTAGGCAAAAGATAAAAATACTTGAGACACAAAATTATAAAACTAAAAATGTGTATGGAAAAGACAATGAAAACGAGAATAAATCAGGGAAACAATTCTTCTTCTAGGTTCACACTTAAAAGGATGATTAGCACATTCAGCCCAACATATCTGATTTCAGCAAAACACTAATTAGTCGACAAGCGTGCTAGGGGGCAGTGGTTTTATTCTTTTCTTCCTCCAAAATGTGGCCTGGAACACAAACGAGGAAGGAAACAATAAATAATCCAATCTCCCTTGGTCAAGCGTTACTTTAAGATACGGATAAATAAATCTGTTTAGTCAGCAATGTAGACAAAGATGGATGAAACAGACAGAGATATTCAAGTAAAATTAAAAGACTGCTAAACTTTAAAAAGCAAGAGGAGCTTTCACAACACTAGGGAATCTATGGAAGACAAAAAATATTAAACATAATGCCATACTTCGAATATTTAACTCTACTGTCAAATCAGTGCTAATGTGTGGAGAAGAAACATGGAAAATTACTAAAACCCTTATTAATAAATTAAAAGATTTTATTAACAGGTACCTGTGTCAGAATAAATGTTACCACTAGAAGAGAATTAAACAAATTGCAGTGAATCAAGAGTTAAGGCAATGACTGTGGTGCTGGATAGGACACAAAGAAACTCTGCTACAAATATAACTAGAATGCTTTTGCACTAGAACTCACGAGGCTACCATGGTAAAAAGCATGATACATTTACCCCACCCCAAATGGAAAAGAATTAGTGCCACAGGTGAAGAGATGGGAAGGAAATGGAGTGAGTGCACATTAAATCAAAGAACAGAACAACTTGGCTAGAATTAGTTAAAAGCTTAATCTGTTAGGGGATAAAGAGTTGAAGTAGGAGACTGAAGACCTAAATACAATGAAATATTATCCAGTATAAAGAAAGATAACTGACAAAAATGTGGTGATCTGTTCAGTACATTATTTCAGATTATACACAATTTTTGTTATCAAGAGTCATAAAATCTCACCTAAACGCATGTTTGAACAAATAAACTGGGCACAGTTAAAACATATTATCAGGTTTCTTGGATCCTTCTCTGAATCCATTTGTTGAATGAATCCAATTACAAAATCTCCTCCCATCTCTTGTATTGCTGAAACAGGCAATAAATACATACTAAATACCATCTATTTTCTCAAGATAAAGCCTATGTCAAAATACATGTGGTGGATTTTAGTTCACTGACAACTTACGCCTAATCTCACTTAGTCCTATGCCACATGCTGACTTATAATTGGTAGAAGCCTAACGTATGGCTCTGTAGCTTCAAGGTTGTCTTTTCTTCTTTTTCTTTGCATTCACCGACTGTAAACTCTGGTGGAAAGTTTTGGTTGTTTGTCCACTTCTGGACTTTGCACTTGAGTTTTGCATCTGGTTTACTTTATGCAGACTGCTGGTTCCTCTCCTCTCAGGCAGATGCACTCCAACTTTGAAAGAAAAACCCACAATTAATCACTTTTCATGACATTCTTCTTCTTCTTCTTTCGTTCGCCTGAAATAAGTTATCTATATCAGCAGTTTTGTCTCTTGTATAAATTTCACTGTTGTTAATTGTTCATTCAGTGGTCCATAGAGTTTACGTTCCACTGTTGTTCTTTCTGGCCTTAATGTGTCAAAATCGGTGCAGTCCTGGAGTACATGCTCTGCGGTCTGGGGCACATTTCCACAGGTGCACATGGCTGATACACCTATCTTGAATTTTGTGTACATGTGGTTACGTAATCGGTTGTGCCCTGTTCTGAGGCGGAAGATAATGACTTGTTCTGGTCTGTCCATAATAAAATAGTCGTCTTGTGCTGGGGCTGGTGGTTTCCTGATCGATTTAATGATTCTTTTCTTTTGGTGGTATGTGACTGGTACATCTGGCTGCTCTTTTGTCGCACCTTCCCCTGCCAGTTGATCAGCTTTCTCATTTCCAGGCACTCCACAATGAGACGGTCTCCACTGCATTACGACTCTTCGGTGAACGCTGAGTTGTGTCAGCAGTGTTTGCAATTCTGGTAGTTTCCTAGACTGGAGTGCTTCAAGTACTGATTTAGCATCTGTAAGCATTACCACATACTGTGAGCCAAGGTTGGTATTTAGCAGTTTCTCTGTAGCTATCTTAATAGCCTGGGTTTCTGCATCGTAGTTATGGCAGTACTTCCCGGTTGGTACGCTGGACTTATCCCTAGTACCATCTGGGAATTCGATGTACACTCCAGCACCACCATTTCTAACTGCACTTTCTGCGGACCCATCTGTATAGACTCTGACCCATTGTTCTTGTGGGTATTCTTCATCAATATAACTGAGGGTGGCCATTTTGCGTTGTACACTATCTTGCTCTTTCTTGTCAAATATCCCTTTCACATTTGTCTGGATTTGTACCGTTAGTTTACATTTTTCTCTCCATGGGGTTTGTTCCGGAATACTTTTTAGTGGGCAGCCAATTTCTGGAAGGTCAGGAGTTTGTCTACATATTCTTTTTTGCTTGGTGTATAAAGCTGCTTCTTTTTAACCGTCTCAAGGCTAGGTTCTTAACTCCATCGAGTGATCTGGCATACTGAGGAACTTTTCAGTTTGTATTTGCAACTTTGTATCTCTGCGTTCTCTCAGTGCCTGTGTTTTCCCAGCTTTCTCCATTTCTAATATGGGGGTTGATTTCATCCCTCCTGTGATGACTCTGAGCGCTTGATTTTGCACTTTGTCTAACTCCTTTAATGTGGTACTAGATGCTGAACACCATGCAGTTGACCCATATTCCAAGTGTGGAAGTATGCTCTGCTTGTATACTTTATTGAGTATTTTCCCATCTGCTCCCCATGTGGTTCCACTTAGTTTTCTTAGTATTGCTGTCTTCCTCCTGGCTTTGGTTGCTGCCTTGTTGATATGTTTTCTCCATGTCAACCTGTCATCAAATGTGACTCCTAGGTATGTGGGCTCTTTATCATCTCTCAGGGGTATTTCGTTTATTTTGATGGTGCCGGCTTTTTGCTTTGGAGAGAGGGTGAATAGTGTGGTGCTACATTTGTCTGTGTTGATGCTGACACACCATCTATTGGCCCATGCCTCAAGTGCATTTGTAGCCCGCTGTAGTGTTTTTGTGGCTATTGTTGCATGTTCATTGGTGCACCACAGTACCAGGTCGTCGGCATACATTGCCATTTTGATTCCATTTGGTATCTCAGCAAACAGATCATTGATAAATAAAAGGAAAAGTGTGGGCGACAGGACACCACCTTGAGGGA